ATATCCCGCTGTCGAGGGGAGCCGAGATGAAGGGCAAGTGCGGCACGAACGAGTCGGAGCTGGAGCTCTCCTGGCTGGACCAAGCGTACACCCTCAAACTCTCCTTCCTGAAGGTACGGGCTCCCCGCACGCTGGGACCTGGGCCGGGGGCGCGGCGGCTCCGCGGGGTTCTGACCGGCCCTGTCCCGGCAGGAGGGGCACAACACGTCCCGGGGGCCGGAGGCGTCCTGGAGGCTCAGCCGGATCCAGTTCACCTACGACACCTCCGAGCGCACCTACTTCAAGGATGCCGTCAGCCGTAAGCGCCCGGGCTCGGGGTTTAAGGCAGATCGCGGCGGGCGGGCGCGGAGCCGGGCTGGGAGGGGAGCACCCTGCGGGATACTCCCTTAAATATACCTTACGGGAAAAAAACCCAAACCCTCCCGACAAAGCCGGCACCATCTGCCGAGTTTAAACAGCATATTATATTAATTTTTTTTCTCCATTTTTTTTTTTCTTGTTTTTAATCACCGCGGTTGCCGTGGGAGGGAGAGCCCAGCTCTGCCCGTTTGCTGCGTTGCCCGGGCTGTCCTGCAGGACCTAGGGCCCGAGGAGGTGGGGCAGGGAGACACCTGGGCTGGAAAAGCTTGTCTCCTTTCCTGTGGGGAGATTGGTTTTAAGGTTAATCCTGATGATCGTTGAATAGGTGGGAAAGCAGCAGTTTCCCAAGATAACTGAGATTGACATTAGTATCATACCCCTACACACCTCCGCACCCAGCAGCCTCCTCTTTTCTCACCGGGTTTCCATTCTTTTGGCTTTCATTTTGTTTTTATTTCATTTCGGCTCAGAAATGTGTTGTCTTGAATTGAAAAATGAAATATTGTTATTTGCAAATTGTTCTCCCTCAGGACTTTCCAACTCCAATGAATAGGGCAATTAGAGTTTTTGCCATAAGACATGCTGGTTTTGAGGCTGTTTTTCCCACTGGTGTTTCCATTGTTCGAGTCCCCAAAACACGGAGCTGGCCATGCCTCATCAGCCCCTGCCCACGCAAAGCACTGATTGCCTTTTTGTGCTGCTGGAGGGGAACAAAGGGCTGCAGAGGAGCGGGGGGTGGAAGATTCCCTCATTCCACCTGGCTCAGCCGCATTTGGCCTTTGCTTGCAAAACAAGCTTGGTGTGATGGGAAAACATTTTCTCATCATTTATACTTGGGTGAAATGGTCACACTGTATTTTCAGGAAAGGCTTTATGGCGTGTTTTGCTTTATGGCGAGGTCCCCAATAGCACTGCTCCTTCCCACCTGGATTCAGAGCCCAAGTGCAGCCTCAGAAATGGTTGTTTCCCAAATGTAGGGAATTTGGGAGTACAATCACAGTCCCGGGCTGAACCCTGAGTGTCTATGAACGGGAACCATTTCTTTGATGTTATGGACTCCAGGCACTGTGACAGGAGCGGAGCTGGCGGCAGCAGAGACAGTTCCATGTGCTGGAGCTGTGTGTTCCCGCTTGCAGGAGGCGATCCCGGTGTGGGAGCTGCCCTGGCTGTGTGGGGTATCAGACAAAAGCAGGGTCCCAGCCCTGTGGAGGGAGGACACTCCAGGAGCAGCAGGGCCACTGCTGCCGCATTGCGCCCCGGCCGTGTCAGCCGCGCGTTCGGTTCGTTCCCTCTGCTCACGAAGGCCCGTCGGGGCCGGGGCCTGACCTGTCTGTGTTCCCTGGCCAGCCGGGAAGCACACGGCCAGCTCGCATCGGCTCTCGGCCCTGGTGACCCCCGCCGGGCACTCCTACGAGTGCCAGGCACAGCAGACCATCTCCCTCGTCTCCAGCGACCACCAGAAGTCCGTGCAGCTCCTGCTGTCAGAAGTGCGGCTCCAGCCCTTCGACATCCCCGCGGATTTTGTCTTCAGTGAAGGTAAGGAGCAGGCAAAGGCACGTCGGCATTCCCGAGGTGCTGATGCTGCCATGGCCTTTGGGGATGTTGCAAAGTACTGAAAGAATTTTGAGTCCCACCTTTTCCAGAGCAACCTTCCCCTCACTGCAGCCTGTTACCAGTGCTTCCTGCAGTCTCTCCAACCCATCCCTTAACTCTGTGCTTCCTCAAAAGGCTTTACAAATTCAGCCTACTTGCCAAAGCGTGGGCTATCATTGTGTGTACACTGGCTTCTGCAAGAACTTGTAGAGTCAGATTTCCAGCAAACCCCAATGCAGCATCCATGGGAAGCTCTTTGAGGCTGAGGTGTCTCCTCTGCAGCACAAAAATGCTTCAGCGCAGCACCAGGGGCTTCTTAGAGCTGCTGCACACTGAGGAAGCTTGGGGCTGCAGTGGCAGGAGGCACTGGGGGTGCACGTTCCTGGCTTCAGTTTGATTAATGCACATTGTGAGGGTGAGGAAGCGTAACAGGGTACTTTAGTGAGGCTCCTCAAGCACCAAACATGGAATGCCATTCTCCTTCTGGGATTCTTTAACGTCCATGGTGGATAAAAGAAAACCTGAGTTAAAGCATGCTGTTTGTATGAAAGGGTTGCACTGGAGTCTGCAGCACTGCTGCCGTGGGACAGGATTCCTGCAGTTTTAGCTTCCTTTCTCCTGAGGAACCCATGGTATTCCTCCTCCCTGGCTCCCCCTTGGCCTTCCCATCAGGTTGAATGAGGCAGTGTAGTCATGCTCACTTGGATTAGGTAAAACCAGTCCCATTTCACAGTGCTGCCTTAGCACAAAAATTAGTTAAGCCCTTTATTGTAACCAGGTGCACATAAAATGTGTAATAACCAACTCTTTTAATAATGAGTTAGAAAATGGTGGTATTCAAGCCTAGCATTAAAAATGTGGAGCTTTATTATTTTGCATGTGGGAAATATTTTGGAACACAATTAAAAGCCCAGCACTGACTGCAGAGCTGAGTGGTTGCACTCACGACTTGCGTCTTCTCACCGATGTAGTAAATTCGTGCTGTTGCATGTGCTGGCTCTGGCAGATCTCTGGCTGGCTGAATTACTCATGGCAAGGCCAGTGTAATACTGAGTAGGTTTTATCCGTGGGCAGGGTTTTTTTGTATCAAAGTAGTACCACAATTTTCTTAGATTTATAGAGAGAAAAAAGTAGAACTTACTAGTTTGCTGTAATTCTTTTTTTTGTTTGGTGGAGCTTTACCCTCTCTTTCCTCCTGTGGATCCAGGATTCCTGCACTCAGGGCTGGGCTGGGCACACCTTGGAGGCTGAGAACAGCGTGTTTAAAATATGCAAGTCTGTGTCTCTGTGATACCAAACTTGTGAAGTCCAAGAACTCCCAGTTAAAACAACCAAACCTGGGGCTTATTGCCAAAGGAATCTACCTGCTGTTTTCTTGGTATGCCCATTCCTGTCAGGCAGAAAATTTGTTTCTATTTTGTTTTCCCTTTTGTGCTGTAGTTTGGTGGGGTTTTTTCTCCAGCATACAAAGAGATGATGTCAGTTTAGCAATCTTTAAACACATGGAGGGAATTCCTCCTCCAGAGGACAGCATGGCTTCTCTCTTTGTCAAGCTCAGTGGGGTTTTCTCTTGTTGTTACTCTCATTATTCAATTACACTCCTTTTTGTTGCATTCCCCTGGAAGTGAAGCAGCAGAGAGCACCGGGAGAGGGTGGTCAGAGATCCTGGGAGGTGATTTATCAGTGGAGCTCCATGCAGGGCTCTGCCGCTCTCCCAGCGGCGCGTTCCCACCAGCCGAGCTCGTCCTCGGCACACACATGGCAAACAGGATCCTTTGTGGGGTCTGAGAATCACTGCCAATCTCAAGTTACAGTAATTAGCCTTCTCCTTTTTGGTTCATTAATTTCCCATTAGGTAAAATACCTATTAATTATGAACAAGCTACAGAACATTTTAAAATATTTTAGAGTAGAGAAAGAGACCTGCTAGAGCAGAAGAATCGCTGAGATGCAGGAGCGTTGGGGCCCTTTTTTCCACAAAGAAATGGGGGAAAAGTTTCTTCATTAGTCCTGATATTAGTCCTGGTTTCTTCATTAGTTCTTCATTAGACACTGTCCTGGTAGGGATAGGTTAAAAAGCTTGTAGGGAATGATTTTTTTATTTTTTTTTTTTAAATGCTTAAATTCACGTGCTAGAATTTTTTTTATTTTTTTTTTTCAAAACCACCTTTATTTATTTATCTACATTTTTATTTTTCAATACAGAAGGAGCAGAATTTTTTTCTTTCATTCAGAGTTTGCTAATTTATTTTTTTTTAATAGGGAAAATGTGTGTACATTTTTCAGCTTAGAAGATGAGTAAAATGAGAGCTGGATCCAGAGGGTGTGAGAAGATTTAAACTGATGAAAGAACCCTAGAGATACTGTCAGCTCTTGATTTTATATCTAAAATTTCTAATATAAAACAATATGATGAAAAATACTAATACAAAGGGATACAATGGCTGAGAATCAGGGACTGGGATCCTGGGGTGGCTCAGAGTGAGATGAGACTTCTTGCTTGAGGGACACGTTTTCCCCAAGGGTTCTTTTCACCAAGGTATGTGACCATTTTTAAAAAGCACCTGGTCTTTCTTTTTTTTTTTTTTCTTGTCATGCCAGACAGAGCTGGGCTGTTTTTCCACCCCTTTGGACAATCCCAGCGCTGATGCTCAGCCTCGCGCTCGTGCCTGCGGGAGGGCGCTGCGCCTTTTGCGGGGTTTTTGGCCGTGTTTGCTCTGCAGGATTCTGGAAGAGGAAAATGGGCTCTTAGGTGGTTTCACAGCCTGGTACTGGAATTGGACGAGCACTCACCATAGAAACCGTGGCAGTACGTGAGCCTGGGAGGAGGCACAGCACAAAGGAACAGGGAGGAACGTACCTTAACACCTCCTTTGTATCCCTCTGCAGTGGGTGTTCCGCGGGGCAGGGACTGGGGGTGACACCACCCTGGCAAGGGGGTGGCCCTGCTGTGTTCGGGATGCAGCAAAACTCCCAGCATTGTCTGAACTTGCCAGGGACCTTTTTGCTTCCTTGGACTGAGGGTAAACCCCAGTAATTTGGGAAATGCTGAGTTCCCTGCGACCTGGAGCGAAATACTGGAGAAAATTTGACAGAAGGGGCTGTTTTCATGCAGGGTCATTAGTTTTGAAATCGTAGCTGTTTCCAGTGCAGTGGTTCTTCACTCGTCAAGCATCAACCTACCCATATTTGAGGGGGTTGAATGTCCAAATTTGTCTGCCATGGACTTTATGCAAACCCTTCTCCCCTCCTGTTCCTCCTTTGCCTTTTCCTGTGCTGATGGAGCAGGAATGATACCTGCTGCCTGCCTCCCTGCTGTGTTGTGGACCTCAGTGCCTTTTCAAATCAATTTGCTCTGAATTCTTGAGGTGAAAAATGCTTCATTTGAATTCTTGGGGTGAAAAATGCTGTATAAATGTTCAAGTACATTGTTATAAATGTGAAAATATTTTTGTTTGTCATAAAATGATATAGTTTAACATTATATTAATGTTAAAATAGAGAATTCATCCTCCTAGCAGTCAGCACCCAGAGAGCCTCGCTTCTGCTGCAGATGTGTTTGTGTTTATCACTTCCCAGTGCTTCCATGCTGGGTCCCCCCATTCCCATTCCCCCAGCAGTCTCCAAAGAGCCCAGGCTTTGGTGGTCTGTTCCAAAAGGTCAAAAATGGATGTTTCTGGTAAGGAGAAAGTGTGGGTAGGGCAGGGGCAGCTGCTCTGCCTGAGGAGGTGCAGCAGGTCCAGCTGGATTTGGGGATGTGCTGCTGGAGACTGACAGCTTTGCTTGGCTTTTATTTTTTTCCTTCCTGTTGGCTTTATTTATTTATTTTATTTTAATCCTCTTAAAAATAGTGTCAGGATAAAGAAGTCTCCTCCTTGCCTGCTTGCAGGAGTTGACTCCTTTTTGAGTCATGACACAGACAAACACAGCTGTGGCTTTCTGTGGACCATGGATCTCTGGCGTGTTTTGTGCCCTGCAGCCGGTTTGCTGTGGCAAAATTTGGTGTAATTCAAATGTTACACGTGGGTGCTTTGGAGCTGGGTCTGTTTTCTGCACTGGTGCTTTTAGCTTTGCCCTCCACATCCAGCCCGTTCTCCTGCAAATGCTGGAGCTTTCCTGTTTAGGGAAAGGTGAGCGGAAAACTCGGTGTGTTTGAGCACAGGGGAATCCTCTCAGCTGGGTTTCCAGCAGCTTGCTTTCCTTCTTCTGTAGGGTTTAAGCTAAGCCACTTTCAAAGCAAAAATCAGTGTCCAGCCACAATGATCCCCTGCTCATTGGCAGCTCAGCACACGCTGTCTGCAGCCATGTGGGGCGTGCACAGGAGCTCCTGGATCCTTCCCATGGGAATGGTGCTGCTTTGTAGCTGTGGGGAGAGGGGTCAGAGCATCCCTGGCCCCACAGCACTGCTCTGTGCCAGGCTTTTCCTGCAGTCAGCTCAGCCTGGGCTTGTGTCCCTGTGAGCTGCTCAGGCCCTAGCATCCTAAACTGGGAACAATTCCACAGAGCACTAGAAGCCCAATTTTGGGAGCTAAATAATAATCAGGATTTTTTTCCCCATTCTCCTTACTACAAACAAACAAAACCCCTGCATTGCAGCAATTGCTGAGTTGCCTGTGCCACAGTCCTGGTGATTAATCACTCCTCTGGTGAAACAGTGAGCAACTGGAACTGAAAAGGACATTCTTTTGTATTAGACTACGTTTCACTTTTGGTTTTTTTTTGTTGCACCTCATTTACAGCTTGAAATGTTTCCTGATGGCATCACTGGGAGGTGGCTGCACTCCAGGACGCGGTGAAGCTCCTGGAGGTGCCGGCACCGCTGGAGATGGGTCCCTGCTGTCGCCTCCTGCCTGGGCCTGGGGGTCTCTGGGTTTTTCCTGCTCTTTGCCACATGCTGTTAGATTTGTGGAACATTTGCTCTTCGTGGTTATTGCAGATCTCTGCAATCAGCTGCCCAGGGAACCCATCTGGACAGTCTTCAGCAAGAGGGGGAATTCATGGTGCCCTTTGTATTCCCTCATCTAACACACAGCCTTTTTATTTTCTCCCTCGTTGTTTTTTTTTTTTTTCCTTAAAGTTGTCATTGTTTTCAGCACATTTCTGATACAATGAAGAACATGAGCCAGAGAATTGTCCTTCCTCTATCACGTACCCTTTTTTATTTTCTCTTGGTACTGGCATTTTTCTTTTTTTTAGCCTGGCAGTCCCATCTCAGCAGCATGGGCTCTGCCTGCCCATCAGCACGGAGAAGCAACAATCCTGTGGGGAAAAGAGTGCCTCGTGATCCTGTCACTCAGTCCTGCAGTAGACTCTGGAAGTGTAAAGGAGCTGAGCCAGGATTACCAGTGTATTGTATTTCCTGACCTTAGTGGCCTTTCCAAGCTCAATAGAAAAGTATTTTCCCATTGTATCGCTATTTTCTGTGGTTTATTAGGCTATGGCAGAGACTCCTCAGCCAGAGACAAAAGCACTGGCAGGGCTCATATTGCTTCTACTCCTCCTTTGCCGTATTTGAGTGACAGTGTGGGGTGCTGGGGTGCTCTTTGACACAGACACACGCGTGTGCGCTCTGCCAGGGCCGGTGCCGTGTCCGTGGGGAGCTCATGGAGAGGGGGCAGCGAAGCTATTGGAGCTCTGCCAACTTGCAGGTAGAGGGGGAATTTCTGGATGATGAGCAGGGTGAGTCTGGTGCAGGATTAAAGACTTATTGATGCTGAGGCCTCTCCAGACTCTTTAACTGAATAAAAACAAAGCAGCTCTTCAGTCACTCAGGAAATTCAGGCTGTGGCTGCCCCATCCCCAGCGAGGCCATCGATGAGTGGCAGAGAGGGCAGAAAAATGGGCATGAAAATGTTTTTCCAGTGCATGGGCTGTTCTGATAGCTGTGGCTTCTCCCTGCATCTCTGCGTTGTGACTGATTCCACTTTGCTCCAAAGCAATTGATTTTCTCCCCGGGGCTCCACTGGCGGCCGCGGCTGCTCCGTCCTGCGCGGTGCCTGACCCGGGAGCCACCGCAGCAGCTCGGCAGCTCTCAGCCACGTCCCTCTTTCCCCTCTTTCTTCCCCTGCAGAGCACAAGTGCCCGGTGGACCAGAGGGAGCAGCTGGAAGAAACCCTGCCCCTGATCCTGGGGCTGATCCTGGGGCTGGTTATCGTGATCACCCTCGGCATTTACCACGTCCACCACAAGCTGACAGCCAGCCAGGTGCAGATCCCTCGGGACAGATCTCAGTACAAACACATGGGATAGGGAGCAGGACCGAGCAACCCGAGCTTTTATCAGGTAGAAAAAGCAAAAGCACTTTTTTTCTGTGGGCAAGGAAAGGTTCTGGGGGGGCAAGGGATGGTATTCACAGCACCTAATCCTGAGTATTTCATGGAGACGCTCAGGCTAAGGCTTGGCTTTAACCCAGACTCTGTAAGGAGACTCAGTGTCTGAGGTGTCTGTAGGTGGTTTGAATACCTTCTTTAAGCAGCTGGGCTGATCATTTGGAAACAGAAATGCTTCACATGTCAGAGTTTCACACTGGAAGCACAATTAGCCTTCTTGTTTTATTTATTTTTTCCGTTTTTCCCATCTCAAGAGATTCTTGCCTCCCCCTGTATCACCTTCGGAGCATTCAGCCCTCCACGTTCCTGTCCATGCGGGAAGCAGGGCTGGGAGGCAGAGCCATTGCACAGGGTTCATTCAGGCCCTCTAATGAAGGGACTCAAACCACATCCCTAAGTTTGCACTCATGTTAAGAAAAGCATGGAGGCAAATGCAGGTGTGCTTTGGAAAAAAAAAAAAATTAAAAAATTCAAGGTCAGTAATTCCAGTGGAGCAGATCACAGCTGTGGAGCTGACCCCACACTTGAGACTGAGTGAAGAAAGTTTGGTTTTGCTTCTTGAGCCACATCTGAACTAAACTTAGAAAAAAAAATTGATGCACAAATTATAAAGTGCCATGCTGCTGCAAGTCAACTGAGAAATGCTTCTGGCTGGGCATCCTGCACGTATTGTGATTGTGGTTGAGATGTTACATTGCTACCTGCAACTGATACTTTTCACAACAACAACAAAAAAAAAAAAGAGAAAAAGAAAACAGTAATGTTAAAGTCACTATGCAGATTATTCAGGTATAATCTAATGTAACAGAAAAAATATAAGGGAACCCTTGAAATCGATCCTTAAATGTAGATGATTTTTAAAATTAATTAAAACATGTGCATATATAATGCTTGATTTGCCTTCTTAATTTGAAATGATGTAATGTTTTGTACTCACTCCATGATCCCAATGGAATTGGAACACAAATGCATCATCTGAGTGAATGTCACTTGTAGGATTTATTCCGGCAGTGGTTTTGCTGCAAATGGCTTGGTGAAGACACGGTGGTGGTTCAGTATTCTGTGATTTGTTGGTTGTCCCTGATATTCTTCTATCTCTTGGTTGTTTTTCCTGTGTGTTGTGTGGGCAGTGATGTGTTTTATTCTGGTACCATCCAGTTCCCACTGAATCCTTTGACTCCCCTTGGCTCTGGTGTTAGCTCAGCAGGAGTTACTCCTGGCCTTGTGTCAATTTAGGATATGGAAAACACTTCCTTATTCTTAAACTGATTTAATTCAAACAGAGGCTTGGTTGTTTTCTTTCAGCTTAAAACTCAACTAAAGAGAAATAGTAATTTCAATGTTGGAAAAGGCAAGAGAAGAAACTTAACGGTTCTTTAATGCTGTTGTCTCCTTCAAAATTTATGGGTTTTCTGATGAAGGTGGATGCAGCATAAGCCTTCCTTTAGTCCTGCCTTATTCCTGGTCTCATTTCTATGCCATGCTCAGCTGTTTCCTCATTTGGATGCAAAAGGCAAAATTATGGCACTAATAATGACAGTGGCTTTGCCCTTTTTCTTTAGAACACCAGTGAAAGGGTCCTGGGTGAGCTTTAGACTGACCAAGTGCCACTGCCTACAATAGGCTGATAATTAAAAAAGCAAATAGAAGGTTCTTTTAGAGACAGTTAGAACAAGCCAGACATAGCAGGGGAGTGAATAAAAGGATTAAAGGTTCATCCTTAATAGAGAGGAGCTTTGTCCTGCCTCACCCTTGTCTGCCCTGGGGCCGGGAAGGCTCTCCCAGCCAGCTCCCATCAGCCCGGCACATCTGCCACTGTGACATCCCAAAGAATACAAAATACAAAAAGGAAGCCAACAGCTGAGCTGCAGATGCCAGAGGAGCCCCTCCACTGCCTTTTGGCTCCTGGATAAGCCATTCTGGCAAGGGGGCTGTGGGAAAGATGGGACAAGTTGCACCCAACTGGAACCATCCTGGTCACTTGGAGGACATTCCCACCTGGCTGGTTTCCTCCCTTGGAAGAGGGGGGAAGTTCAGGGGTTCACATGGAGCTGCTGAAGGCAGCAGAACCTGGGGCTTGGCTGAGCTGCTGAGTGTCAGTGCAGGGGATGCCATCCCCAGGCTGCCCTGGGAGGTGGCTGTGCCTTGTCCAGGTAAAGCTGCTGGTGGGTTTCCATCCCTTGGTGTGGCTTCTCCTGTTGCACCATGTGAGCAAGACCTGCCTGCTGTAACAGGGAGATGCTCCCAAACATCTGTGTGGATTTAAGATGGAAAAAAGGCTGATTTATGGTAGCCTCTGTGAACTGTTTTTAATTCATCCTGCACTGACCCTGTCAGGCCACTCACAGGGACTGTCCCTGCCTGACCCCAGAGCACTGAGGTGGTGGCAATGGCCACTGGATTGGGAAAACCCCCCCAAAAGCTGATGCTGCTCCTGTGCCTGCTTGGAGGACTTCTCCTGCTTTTCATGTCAGAGGAGGGTTTCCCTTAGGAAGCACTTGGCATCACCTCCATGGGGAGAGTGTGTCTGTCTGTAAGCTGTTAGGAACAAAGTTCCAGGAATGCAAGAATTAATTTCTTGGTTTTCTGAACTGATAGATTTTTGTTGTTGTTGTTGGACTGAAATATTTTTCCTTTTTTGGGAAGGAAGGAAAAAGAAACAATAATTTCATTTCAGTGACAGTTTGTGTCTCAGACTGATGTACCTTGGTTGAAAAAGAAGTTATTTAAGGTTCTGGGTGAAAACCTTTTAAATCTTTTAATTCTCTCCATCCTTTTGCTCACATTTACTAAAATTGATCTGAATTGTCCATCGCTTTAAGCTTTTCAAACCTATTTGTGAAAAATTATTTATGAGAGAGATTATGTCCAGCTTCCCTCCTGCCTGTCAGACTGCAGCAGCATCTTGGGGATGGCAGCACTTTGTTGTGATTTAATTTTGTATTTAGCTTTCATTTATTGATGGCTTTTATGGGTGAGCTGCAAATTGAAAGCTTTGCTTTATAGATGTTTATGAACACAGCAGTGGAAGGTGGATAAATACACCTTATCACCCTACTGAGCTCTGTGAGGACCTGTAATAATTAAGCACTCACTAAAGCAACTGCTAATGACTTACAGAGTACTTGTGATTAGGACTTTAATTATAAATTACTGGTGTATTGCTGAGGAGGGAGCTGACATAGCCAGTAACAGTCCTGGCTTCTGCTACTAGGATTAGGAGTATTTGGGAGTAGTTTTAGAACTGTGAGCTCAGAAAAAGCTCATAAAAAGAAATTCCTTAGTGACAGGTGGGATAATTTCATTATCAGCCACCCTACCTGGAGCATGGCCTCAGCTTCTGAGTGAATGGATGCTCCTCACACACCTTACTTGTTTGTTTTTAGGTGATGGCATTACATTTTTTTCAATGTATTTTGAAGTATTTACTGATGTCAGAAATCAAAAGTAATGGAAATCTTCATTAGTAAGACTTGAAGACAGCAAATGAGACGGTAGGTTCATCAGCTGACTGGTGCTGCTGGGGAAACTGGGAGGAACTGCTGTCAGTAGGTGTCAGAGACCAACGGCTGTGAGCTAAAAATCAGGGATGTGTGAGGCAAAAGAAGAAAGGGATTATTTAGGGGGCAGAGAAAGGAAGGTGGAAATGAACTGACACTTAGATCACTATTTCTGTTTAAATATAATTGGCACAGCTTTATAAATCGCTATTTCTATTTATATATATGTATGTGGTATTGCACACATGTGTATCATATATATATGTAAGTATCTGTATCTATATAACACGTTTTTTCTTTATTATCTGCTTGGTCCAGTACTGTGGGACTGAGTCCAATCTATAAAGTAAAAAAAAGGCACAGGGGAAAAAAAAAAAACCCACACTGAAACTTGAAGTGTTTATTAATTAATTTATTTAACTTGCATGTGCATTTGTCTCACCAGTAGCTGGTGTTCCCAAAAAAACCCCTTTGAAATTGACAAAACTCTCAGTAAACTTGATGAACACCGTTTAAAGTATCTAATGATAAGAAAGTTGCAGAAAATTCTTCACTTGTACAGCCTAAAATGTGCTGAATATTGAAGAAAAAACCCCCACCAACCCCTTTTTTTATTCAAAGATGGTTAAAAAAGGTAATTTTGTGGCTAGTACTAAGTTGTGCCGTTGCCTGGACTGGTGCAGCCTGGTTTCCTGAGTTGTCAAGACTACAAAAGAGAGCCCTGGGAGGCTGTGGGTGCTCCTGGCCTGGTGGGCTCTGGGAGCTGGGGGGTGGCAGGAGCCAAACACATTTTCTTCAGTGTCTTCTTCAAATGTGCAAACAGGGGTAGGGAGAGAGAGCAGTGGGGATAAGACACTGATGTAAGAACAGCTCTTCCATGTTCCAGATCATCCTTAACTCCTTTTTCACTTTTTTTTTTTTAATTGCTTCTCTCCCTCCAAATATTCTTTAAGAGCAGAACTGAAGGAGCTTTTTTACTATTGGCAACTCTTTTCTCCCAGAGGAAGGTCTTTAAGCAACAGCTCCTGCCAGGTTTAGATGTTTGGTTATAATTTACTACAATAAATAACAATTAATTTATTAACTATGAAATTCTGTAATAAGAAAGAAACTGTGTTTTCACAAAGTTGGCTTTGTGGTTCTTAAAGATACCATAAAATGAGGTCAGTAAGAAAAAAAAAAAAACAAACTTGAAAAACATGGCTTTTGTATTATACATAATTAAAAACAACTAATAGTTAATAAATAAAATTAGTTTCTCATTGAAATAATTATGAAGCACTTCTAAAAATTTTAAAGGCAAATCTATTTAGGCCTACAGTTAACATGCAAAGTCATTCAACAAATAACACAAAATTGTACTGCAGTAGTCAACTGTTGCATCAACATTCAGAAAGGTCTAGACAGCAGCACGACTTCTCCTCTCTGGCAAACGCCTGGCAGCACATCCCAACCCCTCATCCCATCCCACGGCTCTGCCTGAGCTCTGGTGCTCCCTCTGGGGTTGGAAGGAGGAGCTCCTGCTCTCCCTCTCCACAGCCAGAGCGTGACAGAAATCATGGAGGCTTTTCTGGTGGCAGAACTGGCCTTGTGGTGGCATGAAAAGAGAGAGATGGGCCAAGGCTGGGAGGGGCTGCCACTGTCACCGAGTGCCACAAGGGAGGTGCCCCTGCCAGCATCAGCTGTCCTTGGCTCTTCCAACTGCCGTGAGGGTGGGATGAGCCTCCTCCTTGCCCCATGGGAAGTCTGCAAAACCTTACAACTTCCTAAAGGTGGTTGTGTTTTTTTTTTTCTTTTTTATTTCTCCTGTTTTCAAAAGGGTTAAAAAAAGTAGGAAACTTCATCTTTTCAAATTCTCGCTAGGTTACACTTATTACTTCAACCAACACAACAGTTACATGACAAAGTACTGCAAATTATCAAAACGTACTGTACAGAAAATTACAAACTTGTTGCAAAATACATTGCGCTGCTCTGACCGAGATAAAAAGTGCTTGGTTTTGTCAGAAAAGTGTTCTTCTGAAACAGAAGTGCCATAGCCTGCAGTAAAGTTCAGGTGTTTCGCTCTGGCTGTGCTCTCCTCTGCTAAATTA